GCGGGCAGGACACGGCGCAGGGCGCGGAGCAGCGGGAGCTGAGCTGGCTGGAGAAGGACATGGCGGCAGGAGAGAGCTGGAACTGCAGGGGAAAGGGAGGGAGAGGAGGAGGCAGCGTTGGAAATCAGCACAGCACAGCCGTTGCTCGGATCTTTCTCTCTTTCCTTTCTTGCCGTCCCTCTCCTCCTCCCTCCTTCTCTCCTTCCTTCCCTCCCTCAAAAAACTCTCCAAAGTCTCATAAGATTTTTCTCTTTCTCTCTTCTCCCTGTCCCTCTCTCCTTCTCCCTCCATCCCTCCTTCCCAAGCACCTGCTCTAGAAAAATTCAGATTTTTCTCTCTTTTTCCACTTCTCCCTGTCCTTCTCTCCTTCTCCCTCCATCCCTCCCATGTGGCTCCTCTGTTCAAAATCAGATTTTCCTCTCTTTGCCCCCATCCCTCTCTCTCTTCCCCTGCCTCTTTCCCTCCCTTCCAGGCATCTCCTCTCCAAAAGATCAGATTTTTCCTCTTTCCCCCTTATTCCTATCCTTTCCTTTTCCCTTATCCCTGTCCTTCTCTCCTCTCTCCCTCCCAAGCACCTGCTCTGGAAAATCTCCGATTTTTCTCCCTATTTCCCTTCTCCCTGTCCTTCTCCTTCTCCTTTCATCCCTCCTTCCCAAACAGTTCCTCTCCAAAATCTCAGATTTTTCCCTCTTTTTCTCTTCTCCCTGTTCCTCTCTCCCTCCTTCCCAAGTAACCCCCTCTCCAAAATCTCTGATTTTTCTCTCTTTTTCCCTTTTCCCTCTCCCTTTCCTTCCTTTCCTCCTCAGGGCTCTCCCAACCTCCCCAAGAAGCGATCCCCACCCCGACCACCCCCAAAGCATCCCCCAGACTCACTCAGAACCCGAAGAGGAGAAGCCCGAGGAGCTGAAATCTCAGGAATCCGGAGCTGGGATGGGAGGAATTGGGAGCCGGGAGCTTTTTATCCCATCCCGGGATTGCCCGAGGGCGTTGAGCCATCCCCGAAGTTTCCCAACCCTCGGGAGGCGATCCCTGCCCGGGCTCGGGTTGTTTTATCCACCTCAAAGCAATTATCAGTTTCTCCCAACACCCTTCCAGTTTCTTCCTTGAGTTTTTTTGGAAGCGGTTTCGCTTCCTGCAGCGTTTTTGCTGATTTTGCAAAGTTGGGAAAATTGTTGAGGAGTTAATTTTTTTGTGGTGGAATTCCTCCATAGGCAGGAGCAGCTTCCATAGACCAGCCTGGCCTTGGACAATTCCAGGGCTGGGAAAATCATGGAATTCCCTGGGCCAGGCCCTCACAGGGAACAATTCCAACCCAAAATCCCACCCCAATTCCCCCTGCCCCATTCCCGGTGTCCTGTCCCTGCAGTTCCTGAGGAAAACTCCCTCTCCAGCTTCCCTGGAGCCCCTGCAGATCCTGGAGGGGCTCTGGGGTCTCCACATTCCCAACATTCCCAACATTCCCAACATTCCCAACATTCCTAGCCTGGATCCATCAGGGAGAGGCTCCAGTCCCCTGAACAACTTCACAGCTTGGGGACACCAGAACCGGGCACGGAATTCCTGGTGGGATCTCACCAGAGCCATCCCACCAGAGCCAAGGGGAAGAATCAAACACCAGGACCCAAAAGGAAGAATTTTAGGGTTCATTTGGGTTGATCCCACTGGATTTCTCCTTTTGCCCTTTTAGGAGGATGGGGAGGTTTCAGACAGGGATTTCCAGCAACTCCCGGGGGTTGTGGCTCCACAATTTCTCCTTCCCTGGTTTTTCCTCATCCTGGTTTTGGTTTGGGTGAATCCTCTTAACTGTAAATTCTGAGGGCTGGGAAAACTCAGGGAAACCCCAGGAAAGACTCCCTCAGGCTTCCTACCCTAACACTGACCAATGGAAAAAATGGAACAAAATTGACATTTTGGGACAGAATTTTCAGGGCCACTCAAATCCCCACTGTTCACTTTATAGCTCCATAAAGGGGATGGATTCTGGGGGGGGAAAATCTCATTTCTTGAGGAAATTTGGGAATAATGTTGGGTATGGAAAACGGAGACACAGCAGGAAATGCAATCCATGAATGACTGGAGAGGGGGAAATCTGAAGAACAAATCTGCTGAAGTTGCAGCCAGACCTCTGCCTCAGCTGCACCCGGACATTCCCAGGTTTTCCAGGGGTGATGCAGGATCCCCTCCCTGACCTGGCTCACCCCAACCCATGAATCCTCCTCCCTCAGCAGTGCTGATCCCACAGATACCCTAAAAAATGGACGTGGATTTCTCCTGGAAAACTCCATGGACATTTAACAAAACTGGGAGCATTCCTTGACCAAGGAGGATGGGAAGGAGCTCTTCCCATTCCCAAATTCCACAGGAAGGTGTCTGTGGATGAACGTGCCTCGAGTCGGAGTCACCGGAGTCACTGTGGGTCAATAATGGCAGAAATTGCACAATTTTTCCTCAGAAAAAGTGGGGTGGGATCCGAGCTATGTCAGCACCTCGTGTTGATGGATCAAGCTCTGAGCAATCGTGAGGCAATCCCAGAAGTAGGAAAAAAAGCAACAAGGAAAATTAAGAAAAATAAATCATTACTGTGCCTGAGTAATGCCGTGGATGTAACAACAACAGTAATAATTGCTGAGCGAAATAATCGCTTTATCTGGGCCATGAGAGGTGGAGGGAATTTTTCTTGGATCATTCATCAGCCGTGGTTGTTTCAGCTCCAGCTGATTGCCCAAGAAATGGTATAAAAACCCTCTCAGCTCTGAGCTACTCCAGCAAACCCTCCCGACTCGCTCCAAGCTCCGCAGGGGTAAGTCCGAGCCTGGAATTGTTCCTGGAACTGTTGGGGTCTGAACTGAGCTTTGCTTGGATCCAGAATTGTGGGGCCAGCAGGGCCAGAGCAGGGATTGGGGTTTAGTGCTCATTTTGGGGGTTACTGTTAATTTTGGGATTTACTGTTCATTTTGGGGTTTACTGTTCATTTTGAGGTTTACTGTTAATTTGGGGGTTACTGTTCATTTTGGGGTTTATTGTTCATTTTGGAGTTTACGGTTAATTTGGGGGTTACTGTTAATTTGGGGATTACTGTTCATTTTGGGATTTATGGTTAATTTTGGGACTTTTGGTTAATTTTGGGGGTTATTGTTAGTTTTGGGATTTACTGTTCATTTTGGGGGTTACTGTTAATTTGGGGTTTACTGTTAATTACTGTTAATTCGGGGGTATTTTTGTGTCAAAATGACTCCATAATGAAGAGTCAGGAGGCACAGGAGACAGGGACATGAGAAGATGAAAAACCCCAAATTTTGAACCTCTTTGTGACCTTTTTGCCATCTGCTCTTTCTCCTCCCAACCCAGCTTCCATTCAATCGGTCTCTGACCTTCCTGCTGCCTCAGCTTCGTGGTTCCAGACCCATCCTCGATCCCAGAAAATGTTTTCCTACAGACAGAGCTCCAGCTCCCGCTGCCTGACCCCCTGTGGCATCTCCTGCCCCCAGCCCTGTGCTGACACCTGGAACCAGCCCTGTGTCACCTCCTGTGGGGACTCCAGGGCTGTCATCCACCCTCCGCCCGTGGTCATCACCTTCCCGGGGCCCATCCTCAGCTCCTGCCCGCAGGAGAGCATCGTGGGCTCCTCAGCACCCTCAAACTTCCTGGGATCTGGAAACTTCCTGGGATCCGGGGGTTCCTACGGCTCCTACAATTACGGGAGGTCCTACTCTTCATACGGATCCTCTGGCAGCTGCAGACCCTGCTGAACATCTCAGGAATGAGCGGGAAGGAGCCAAGAGTCACCACGGANGAATGTTGGAACTATGAGCACTGAAAATACTAAAATTGGAAATGTGAATATTGGGATATATGAACACTGGCAACATGAATATTCGAATAAATAAATAAACAAACAAGGGTAATAATAAATTATGAATAAATAGCGAATGATAAAAATAAATAAAATTAATCAATAAAGATTATAATTAATAAATATAAGTAATAAAAGAAATAATAAATAATAACTATAACTATAAGTATAAATAGCAATATAAATAACAAAATATTATAAATGATAAATGATAAATGATAAATGATAAATGATAAATGATAAATGATAAATGATGAATGATAAATGATAAATGATAAATGAAGGTTGCCCTTTGCTCTGTCCCCTCACGTTGTCCCCTCTCTGTCACCCCCAGCCCCACCATGTCCTCCCAGCCGCTCTGTGCCGTCTCCTGTCCCCAGCCCTGTGCCAGCGCCTTGAGCCAGCCCTGTGTCACCACCTGCGGGGACTCCCGGGCCGTCATCCACCCCCCGCCCGTGGTCATCACCTTCCCGGGGCCCATCCTCAGCTCCTGCCCCCAGGAGAGCATCGTGGGCTCTGCATTCCCATTGGGAATGGGAAATTCCTTCGAGCTGGGCGGTGTCTCCTCCTCCTCCTCCTTCTATCCCGGAATTCCCTTCCCCTCTTACCCCCCAAAACCCTTCCCATCCCACCCCCAAAAACCTTTCCCTTCCCACCCCCAAAAACCTTTCCCTTCCCACCCCCAAAAACCTTTCCCCTCTCACCCCCAAAAACCTTTCCCTTCCCGTCCCCAAAAACCCTTCCCATCCCACCCTGAAAAACCCTTCCCAACCTACCCTGAAAAACCCTTCCCGTCCCGCCCTGAAAAACCCTTCCCAACCCACCCCGAAGAACCCTTCCCAACCTACCCTGAAAAACCCTTCCCAACCTACCCTGAAAAACCCTTCCCCTCTCACCCCCAAAATCCCTTCCCGTCCCACCCCGAAAAACCCTTCCCTTCCCACCCCCACCGTCCCAAGCCAGGCAAAGGATCCCCGCATGACCAAAAGCAGCAGAACGAAAAATAAATCCACAAATTGTGAGCGAGGGGAGGGCTCCGAGAGGGGCCGGGGCTGCTCCTTCATCCCGGGAATGACTCCAGGAACGATCCCAGGAACAATCCCAGGACTGAACCCAGGAATGATCCAGGAATGACCCCAGGAACGATCCCAGGAGTGATCCCAGGACTGATCCCAGGAACGATCCAGGAACGATCCAGGAACGACCCCAGGAATGATCCCAGGAGCGGTCCCAGCCCAGTGATTCCCTCTGGATCAGATCCCCACTCACAATTCCCATCGATTCTGCTTTGCTGTGAATTTGCCCGAATTNCTCGGAATGGTCCCATCCATGATCCCTGCCTGGCTGAAAGTGGGATGAGGTCGTGTCACCTTCCCACGCCCAAAAACCCAGGACTCATCCCCTTGGAATGCCCAGCCCTGGAGCGATTCTTTCCTTCATTTCTCCCGGGGTTTTCCATCCTCACCGCGATATTTCGCTTCCTCCTTTCTCATTAAACCATTGTGCATTAAAATCCAGAGTTTTCCTGTGGTTTTTATCCATAATTTTGGGGGTTTTCTGCCAGTCTGGGTGAGTGCGGTGGCTTCTGGTGCCTTTCCACACCCGGAAGGTGCCCAGGTCCTTTCGGCGGTGACACAAAGTCATTCCGAGAGGGATAAAGAGGTTTTGGAACTCTCCCAATCCCATTCAGATCTTCCCTCAGGGCAGGCGTGGCTGTTCCCTGTTCCCAAAGAAAGTCAAACTCGGGTGACTCGGATTATTTGTGTCTCAATGCCTGCCCCGGGCTCCGATGTAATTACATCCCCGCACGGTAATTTCACAGTTTTTAAAATTGTTTAAAAACAGCCTGAGGGGAAAAACTTTCCTTGGAAAACTTCCCTTGAAAATTGCCACAGGAATTTTTTTACCTGAAAGGCAATTTTTTTGGGTGGAATTCTGTGAGCTCCTTGAACTTTCCCATAAATAAATTAAAATAAATTATAGAATTGTTAAAGTGTTCCCTGGAGAGCAACCCGCTCTCCCCTGGGAGGGTGGGGAAATTCTCTTTTCCAGGGAATTTCTGGCTGCCCCCATCCCTGGAATTGTCCAAGAACGAGTGAGAGCAACCTGGGATGTGGGAAGGAGTCCCTGCCCATAAATCAAAGATCTTCAAGGTCCCTTCCAACCCAAACCATTTTCTGGTTCTATGAAACCCCAAAGGACAGTTCTTTAATCTTTAATTCCTTCATTCTCCCTGGGCTTGGAAGGAAAAGAAAGAAACACAGGAGAAAGATCCAAAAATGGCTCAGAATTTAGGGGGTTTTCTCCTCTTTTCTCCATCTCTCTTTTGGAGCAGCCTCTGGTCCTGTAACCCATAATTAGGGAGACAATTTGATAAAAAAAATCATCATTTTCTGGCCACTGCAACACTGAGATGTGTCCGTGGCAATTCCTGAAGTTATTGGGCACAATTTGAAGAAAAACAGAACAGAAAAATTCTGATGGCAGCAACTGAGGCTCCTGATCCACCTGCTGCCCAAAAAAGGGAATTCCTGGGAGCGAGGAGAAAACTCCGAGGATGAGAAAAACTCTGCTCTGAACCCCAGAGGTCACTGTACCCTTGTCTTACCCAGTGTTCAGTCCCGGGACAAGGGCAGAGCTGTTAATTGAGATGCAATCAGCAGCTGACTCATTAAAGGCGTTGCAAACCCCGAATCCCAGCTTGGAGCAGATCCCGATGGCAATTAAACCTTTCGTGTTTGATTTCCAGACTTTATTTAATGGGTTAAATGTTCATTTAGTGGTTTTTCTGTTCTCTGGGCTGGCAAAATCTTTATTTATTGGGTTTTTAGGTGCTGCAGACTGGCAAAATCTTTATTTAATGGGATTTTAGGTGCTCCGGGCTGGCAATTTCCCTTCAGGCACAAAGGCCCAGAGATGTCGTGGGATTGGCAAAGGGAGGATTTGCCATTTTTCTCATTTTGCAATTGGAGGAGCTGCGCTTCCAATTTTTCAGGTGTTTTAAATGAAATTCTCTCTCAGGCACACTCCTTAAGAAAATATTTTTTTAGCTCATTCCCTCCTTTTTANCACGCCCTGCGCCACGCCCTGTGCCACGCCCTGTGCCACGCCCTGTGCCACCAAGTGCGTCCCCGAGCGCTCCTACACCTTCTCCACCCGCTGGAAGCACCCGTGCCAGAGGGGCCTCTGCAAGAAGATCTGAGCGGTTTTGGAGGGAAAGAACCACGGAAAGGAACGAGGGAAGAAGCGAAGGAATACGGAATGTGCGACCCGAAGGCTGCCGGAGAGGGAAGCGCCGCTGGAAACCAGGACCACGCGTTTTGAGTCTAGGATAGAGCTTTAGTTTAGTTCAGGCTTTTCTTTCTTCTTGGGGCTTTGCCTCTTCTGTCTGTGCTTTGGACTTTCTCTGCCCAGTTCGACACCGAGCGTGGATCGGAACCGAGGGATTTGGGGAATGGTGGGGATTGGAAGGTCTCAGCAAGTGTCAGGGGAGGGGGTGTCGGGCTGGAAGGGGTCAGGTTAAAGCAGTTGATCACAATTTTGGGTGATTTGGGGTGATTTGGGGTGATTTTGGGTCTTTTCTGGGAGTCGGCTCCTCCTTGTCTGCATTATTCTCTCTTCAAATGTTCGACTCCACTTTGCATTCCCATTAAAATGCTGCTGCATCAAATTCGTTCTGAATTCCCTTTTTCCTCTGCTCCTTGGGCTCTCTTGGGGACACTCAGCCTTGGATAGAGGGACAGGCGACCTCCAGGCTCTTCCTGGACTGCTCCAAACTTGACTAAAGGTAAAATTCAGGGTTGCATTTCTGGGATGAGAGTTTTTATCCCTAAAATAAACCCTGGCTCTGCATTTTCTGGGATAAAATATTTTATTCCTAAAAAAACCTGGCTCTGCATTTTCTGGGATAAAATATTTTATTCCTAAAAAACCTGGCCCTGCATTTTCCAAGATAAAACCTTCAGATTGAAGCAAAACGGGAATTCTTAGTGTCCTGTTCATACCCAGCTCTGTTTGGGGATTTTCTTCCCTCTAAACAAAGGGAACTGAGCCAAACCCAAGCTTTTTTTTCCCCACATTTCTGCATCCAAACTTTCCTGAACTGCTTTTCCAAGGACTCCTCTCCACCTCTCATCCCAGGGAGGGACCTGGAGCTCCAAATTCCAGGAGTCGGTGCCAGCAGCGGATCCCTCGGGGCAGTTTGGGATGCCAGGCGTGTCCTGCTCATCCCATTCCGAGCCATTCCGGGCGCTGTTTTTATCCTAAAGACCATGTTCGGTTCGTTCTTCCCTAATGGCCACGTTGGGGCTGGAATTCCGGGTCATTCCCCGCAATTACCCCTGCCCCAAAATATCCCAGGGCTTCCGCACAACAAAGGGAGCCAGAACGCTTCCCAAACACTCCCAGGCTGGATTACGCCTGGACCTGGAATGTTAATTTTATGTTAATTAATCAGCTTTTATTTGGGTTACGTGCCCTAAAACTGGAATAATCGATTTGAGGGGAAAAAAAAAAAAAAAAGAAAAAAAAAAGAAAAAAAAAAAAGAAAAAAAAATAAGGAAAAAGAAAAGAAAAAAAAGCAAGGAAGTTGTAGCCCCTGGTGAAAACTTCCCGAGAGTTCGGTTCCAAGGATGAGGGGCTGAATTGTGAGAAAAGTGGGAATTCTGGCGGGAATTCGGGATATTAAAGGTGTCCCTGTTAATTTTATGTTGTTGTGAGTGCCGGTTCTGCTTCTCGTGTCCATTAAAAACCATTTTCTGCACCACCCTGCCCTGGGGTTATTCCACCTCTCTCTTCCTCCTGGGATTCCTCATTTCTCTCCCAGATGCTCCGTTTGATTTCCAGGAATAGCCCATGGTGGTTTCCTCCCAGCCACAAATTCTGGGTAATTTTGGAAAATGGGAATTTGGGCCCTTCAGTGTCAGAAAAAAAATCAAATTTCCAGGGGATAATGAAATTTTAATGACATTAATCTCGCTGACAAGTCCTGGCCGTGCCCGAGATCTCCTCCCAGTGGTTCCCCGCATTGCCGCGGGATGTTTTTATAAATCCTCTGGGTTTCTCTTCATCGTCTCTGCCAGAAAAAATTAAAAATAAAAACCATCAGTGGAGCCTCCCGTGATTCCCCGTCTGGCGTGGAAGGGGCGGGCCTGGAAAGAGCAAGAGAAAAGGTGATTATTGCTAATTAATACTTAATAAAGAGGAGTTTTCTGGATTTTCTGCGGGCTCAGCAGCTTCTGGGGAGGGTGCGGGGTCCTGAGTCAGGAGTGACCATGGGAGAGGCAAAAGATCTCTGTCAAAAACATCTCCAAATTCCTGAATCATTGTTTGCCCTTCTTCATCTTCCCCCCAAAAACCTTCCTCCTCCTCCTCCTCAGGGGCTGGGAATGATCCCTGGATTTCTGCGTCGCTCCTTCCCTGGAAATCGCGTTTTCCCCGTGGTGGCACCGGCTGGAGCTGCTGCCAAAACAATTTAATTTTAATTTAAATTTTAATCTCGGCGCACTCTGATCTCGGGACGGTGCCAAACCCTTGTTTTTCACATCCAACCCCTCGTTT